AAATAAGACTCACCACAAAGTGTTTTACTTATCTTCTGTGAATTATATGTACTATAGAAATTTCCTGAGTTTATCATCCACCTGCCTCAAAATTGTCACCCAGTAATTAGCAGCTGCCAGACTACATTTATTTGCATGCTTATTTTTAAAGTTCAAAGACAAGTGATGACGGTAATGAGATTTTCTATGAACCATCTTCTTGTTGTGTTCCCTCAAAACACCCTTAATAAAATTAACAAATACACCTCAGAATCATTGCAAGTACTGAGTATATACAAAGAAGGCCAAGAAAAAAATAATTCCTCAAACCGTCTAAAGCTACCAAAGAAAGAAATTCTGTGAAAAACCATGACATAAAATAAAAATAGAGCAAATAGAAATAATCTGTCATGGAGCTGGTCACTGAGGACACTGAGGTACACAAGTGCTGTGGGTTAAAAAAAACAACCTTACACGTTTTGGGTCCTATCCTAGGTAGCTGCTTGAGGGATCATCATGTTCTAATCAGATCATCATGTTCTTTCCCTGCTATTCTCACAAGCACTTTAACATGTCCTCTCATTAAACAGACATTAATTTTGCCTCTGATCCATGACTCTTACCTCCAACTCTGATATGTTAAATTTCAAGGATGCAAAGTCTTTTGGGCTTTCTCTCATGCTGACCCTTAGTATTGCAATAATTCCCCCTTAAACATACCAATCTGTCACATAACTCTTCTTGAAAATCCTACTTAAAATGTCTAGAGAAACACTTGGGCAGCAGGTTGTGAAGATCGTAGACTAATACAGACCAATAATGAGTATTTCCTTATATTCACTCAATTGCTTTTCATTAGCTAATTTTAGATATCAAGATCTCCAGAGGCTGCCTTATTGTTCTGTTTCTATAGCACCTGGTCCTCGGTTTGAGTTCTCATTTACTAGCAGTGATGCAAATAAAGATTTTGACATACAGATAAGATTTCTAAAGGCTCAAAACCAATCATTCAAATAAATAAAAGAGATAAGAAAACCAGTTATTTTTAAATCTGTCTTACTATTTTGAAGATCTGACATGTTTTTAACAACACTGACTGATGCAACCATTAATACTATTTTGAAGTGTTGGAAGAAATGTTTGTACAAATCAAGTATTCTGATTAATAGAGCTGTAGTCTGTGTGTATCCACATTAGAAGCTTTCCAGCAATGTGTAGAACATTAATCTTTGGAAAATATTTTTGTTATTAATTTCTCTTTAGTAGAAGACTTCTAACTGAGTGACTGGGTCAAAGAAGACAGTGGCATTTTATTGAGGGAGGGAGGAAAGGAGGAAGGAAGGAAGGAAGGAAGGAAGGAAGGAAGGAAGGAAGGAAGGAAGGA